CGGAGGCAGCTTTCAGTGCGGCAAGATTTCAAATTGGAGACCACAAATATTCGTTAGCAGAAGACAGTTTGGAGATATCGATGTTGTTTAGAGATTGGATAAATGCTGAGCGGAGAAATCAAGGACTTCCAAAGTTGGATAGTCAATTTGAACTTTTCATAGATTCAGCCATTGGATGTGTTAGTGACGATGGCATGGAACTTCAAGATCGTCAACGAGCTTTACCAAGACCAGTAGTTGATTACGGTCAGTCTATAGCTGAGTTAGAAAAGGATTTACGGGACTATACAACTATTAGTATTACATTTGAGGCTTAGTTGAAACAAAACCCTTCCTAGAAGGTGGCTGCGTAAACTATGCACTCTACTAATAGTTGTAAATTGTAATTTGTAATACAAATTTAAATAAATTGGAATATTGGATTTATATATTTTAATTTGTGACTTTGTGTCATTGTTTTATCCTTATTTTTATTTAATTTTTTAAAATTACAAACTTAAGTTATTTAAATTATAAGTTATAAATATAACTTATAAGTTATAACATATTAATAAGTAATAACTTATAAACTTCAAAAGATTCAAATCTTGAAAACTTAAGCTCAAAAACATTTTTTTTTTAAAAAAACTTTATTAAACTTAACTTGCATACTTCAAAAGATTCAAATATTTAAAACTAAGCTCAAAAACATTTTAAAAAAAAAAACTTTATTAAACTTAACTTGCAAACTTAATAAGTAAAAATTAAAAAAAATATCTTTAAAATAAACTTAAGTAAAACTACATTATAAATTTCAAAACTATTAATTTAAACTTAGAAAAATAAAAAAACATAAATATTTTTGTATTTCAAAAAATTAAAATAACTAAAAATTTTTTATCATATTTTGATAGCTAGATGTGTCGTTCCGTTTATCCCATCCCGTTCCATTCAGGTCCGTTCCGATATATAGTGGGACGGGACGAAACCGTGTATCCATACCGGTAATTCCGGTCCGGTTCATCCCAATACCGGTCAACAAACCGGTCAACCCATCCCGTTCCGGTCCGGTGATTCCGTTCCGATCCGGCGCCCAGTCTTAGCGTCTCCATATTGTTCCTTAGGTTTTGGAACATTGTTTCCTTCACTATCTTTGATGGTTGGAGTTAGAGGTCCATTAGTAATTCTAACCCATAGTTCATAATCTTCAGCTTGAATGAAGTCCTCCATTCTGGCTTTCCACCATGAGTAGTATTGACCATGGAAGAGTGGTGGTATGTTGATGTTTTGACCTTGACCATGCCCAATAGGAGGTGCAGAATTCATTGTGATCTTATCTTGAGTTATTAGACTCTTGTTAAGATACCCTCGTTCTGATACCAATTGTTGGAATTATGGCCTCCTTAATTCAGTAAAGGAACACGTACTAACATTTGATAATTGTGGTAAATAATTTTGTAAATAATAATCAGTTCACAACTTCATATTATTTATCACAATTTCAAACTACACAACGATTCCACACCTATGTAATCTAAGGAATTATAAACTCTAATCCCTTTTTACCCAAGACAAAAACCTTAGGTTTAGGCCTTCTAAAAGTCTTCCAAGATTCTCCAACTTGGTAGACTCGTCCTACACTCAACACTCAATTGCAGTCAATTACTATTAACTACAATCTTACATTTATTCTCACAAACTCACAGCACTCCCAAGTAAAATACAAAACTCTCTCAAAAATTCTTTGATAGTGTTTTGATTATCTCTCTATGTAAGTGCGCAAAATTCTTAGAAGAAAATCACACCCTATTTGTAGACTTGAATTTCTCAAAACCTTCTTCAACTCAACTTTCACTACTAAAAAAACAGCGTTTAGCGACGGACTATAATCCGTTGCTATATAACGACGGTTTAACTACAGAATAAATATTTTGTCGCAATAATAATAAGCAATTTTTTTTTAATTCTATAGCGACGTAATGGCGACGGATTGTATATTCCGTCACTATTTATTAGCGCGAAAAGTTGGCGCCTTAATATTTCCTACGAATTTAACAACGAAAGGGCTGCGACAAATTGAATTAATTTTGAACGACGGATTAGCAACGGAAAATTCGTCGTTACAACTTTTAGTATTTATTTATAAATTTTATATTTTGTAGCGATAGAAAAATCTGTCGTTAGTTTCCATTCTAAATAAATCAAAGATGTTTGTTAGCGACGGAATTTTATATGTCGTTAAATCCGTCGCAAAATAAAATAAAAATTTAGGGATAAGTTAGGGCACACAAAAATTCCCTCTCCATTCTACTAACAAAAGCTTTGAGCTCTCCCACTGTCTCTCTTCGGCTCTTCAACTATTCATCTTCCCCATTCTTCAAATACGCTACTAATTGCTCTTTCACTCTCTTCAATGTGAGAAATCAATGAGTTTCTATCAATTTTCGAATTCAAAATCAAGTGAGTTGTACTAACTTTTGTATACTCTAATTTCGAGTTTATTTTTTGTATATTAAGATGTGTTCTATGGATTTGTGTTGATTTTGTTTGTGGGTTTTGGTAATCTTGAAATATGAGACAAGGGTTCTACTTGGAAGAATGATTTTGCCATAATCGAGTTACACTTTGCAATTAGGGTTTGTTTTAAGAGATTATTGATATTATAAAAGATGTCAAAACCAGATCTTAACATAATCACTTTTTGTTGTTAGTAATCAACTGTGAATAAGACTACTTTTTTGTTGTTAGTAGTCACTTTTTCTATCTGGGTTTAGCTTGAACAGCAACAGGATTCTGCGCATTATCAGGAATACATTTTGCTATGCTTGTTGGGTCTTTGAGTTCTATTTTTAACTTCTGTTTGTATTTTTCTATTTTGAAATTGTTAATTTGAAAAGTTTAGTATAGGCATCGTATAACTCGTTTTATGAGAATATATAGTGGTGTTTAAATTCTATTTTTTTTTTCTATTTTAGAAGGCCTTATTGCAGCTTATGAAACATGTGTGGAGTTTTGTTTCTTCGTGAATGTATTTGCTGCCTGTTTGTCCTAAGAACAGCTAACCAAGTAAGCTCTCTTTCTCTATCTTATTCTATTTCATTTTTCTTGGTTTGTCAAAGTCATGACTTAAAGAAAAAATGTTTATTTGTGATAGTCGATTAGTAATTTCTATATGTATTTGGTAGCTGATTCAATTATAATTTTTACGTATTGTCAAACATTGTCGAATTAAATACAAGTTAATGAAAATGGTTCAAGAAAGAGAGTTTTAGATAAGAATTAACATTATCAACTTAAAGAAGTTGTTCATAAACTAAACAAAAAATGATTTTCTATTCATACACATAATTAAAGAAATGAATAACAAACAAACAAAAAATGACATCTATTGCCATCAACTTTTTTTTGCCACACACAAGAAAGTAAATCAAGAAGAGACTAGCAAAATTTTCATCCAATCTGTACCTAAATTTCTGCAGTAAGTCAATCAAATTTTGGTGTATCTAAAGATTTTTTCCTTGCTCCATATCAAATGAAAGATTCTTCTTGAGTTCTCGTTGTCATACTCTGCTGGATTAGATACAAGTGATTGAGATCTCTGATGGTTAATCAGATTAACATGTCTTTCACAAATTTTAGATTTAATGTAAAGTATGCAAAGTTCAATTTTTCATAGCTATTAAGTAACTGCTTGTTTTCTCTGCTCTACTTCTCAGTTTCTTTTCTTTGTGCTCCTCTATTTATGTAAAGAAATTCACCTGATCAACATACAATGATATTTAAGTTTGTATTTTTTTCTTTTCCACATGGTGTTATTATAGTTTGTGGAGAATATGTGGACCTTTGCTTCTTCGTGAACGTGTTGCTGCTTATTTATCCTAAGAACAACTATATCAAGTTTACGTAAGTTCTACTTATCTCTCTTAGTTTGTTTAATATTTTGGGTTGTCCATCTTTATGCTTGATGAAACTTTCAGAAAGGTATTGATTGTGAGCAGACATGGGATAATTATGCTATGGTGGTTAATATTTCAAATGTTATACACAGATTTTGCTGACATTGCAATCTTTCAAGGCTCTCAAATCTCGTCTTGTTCCACTAATTTCACTCGCCCTGCATCCTTCTCTTTTCATCCACCTTTTCTCAACTTTTCAGCTCCTCGGTATGATTTTTATTTGGTACTCCATTATATTTACAATCGTAACACTAGAAATTAGTTACTAGCAAGAGAAATGAAATTCAAACCACTTTCTTGATTGTTTGCAGTAATATTTGTATTATCTTTTTGGCATCACACTTTTTGTAACTTTACAATAATTAGAGTACAATACAAGTGTAGTACTTATTTTATGATCTAACTTTAGGCTTATAATTATCGAATGACTTGACATTTAATTAGCCTAAACTAGAATTAGTAGTAGAACAAATCATCATATCATTTATGTGTAGGGATTTAAGAGAGTACACTATTTTAAAATAACATTATAGTTGGGTCAAATCATACTAAACTAACTGGACAGTGATAAAAAAGCATAAAGGAGAACTAATAAAGGTATTTCAGTATGAACCTTTCCTTGACATTGCACTTCCTGCAACTTATCATTTTCTTGTTATTGCACTTTTTGTAACTGAAGATTAATAGAATAATATATTTTAAGATAACTGGACAGTGATCAAGAACACTTATATTAACAGAAAAGGCGGCGAATGATTTAAAAAGTGCAAAGATATACTCTTTTTCATAAAGGTATTTTAATATGATCTTTTCTTTGTAGGACATCCAGATTGTATAACTTATATAAGAGAAATTTCTGATTGTCTTGATTATTCTAAAATTTATAGGAACATGAGTAATTTGAAGCGTGGTTGGATGTATGAGAGGTTGGATGGACGAGGGGGTATACTCTCCAGTTTTATAACCGGTGTGAATAACTTTATTCAGTATGCATGTTCACAAAAAAATCGTATGAGTGGTGACAACATTAAATGTCCTTGTAAAAAATGTCATAACCTTAAATACATGGATGTTGAAATGGTTAAATATCACCTTTTTCAATACGGATTTGTTGAGAACTATTTTGTTTGGAAATATCAAGGGGAAGAAGATGCTATTGATGAGATGTATTATGTTAATGATTTGCATGGTGGAACTCAACCTGAATTGGGATATGATAATCCGTACCGACAAATGGTTTTGGATGTAGCTGGTCCAAACTTTGATCAAGGTTTGAGTCGACAATTTCAAAGCAATATTGAACATGAGTCATCTCATACTTATGAAACTTCAATAGAGGAGGAGATCAATCCTTCAATAGAGGAGGCATCTGATCTTCCAATGGAGGAGGAGCCTAATCCTGAGTCTCAAAGATTTTATGATTTACTACATGCCGCTGATGCAAAATTGTATCCCGGTTCCTCCGTCTCTCAACTTGAAGTTGTCTCTAGGATGTTAAACATTAAAATGGAGAACAACATGTCACAGAGAGGTTACAACCAAATGATGCAATTGTTGAAAGATTCTTTACCTGAAGATAACATAGTGCTTGATAACTATTATCAAACAAAGAAATTGGTGCGTAGCTTGGGTTTGCCAGTTGAGAAGATTGATTGTTGTGAATCAGGATGTATGCTATATTGGGGCGATGATGAGAACCTTACATCTTGTAAATTTTGTGGCAATCAGAGGTATAAGCGTCGTGTAGGCTCTCGTAAGCGGAAATTGGTCCCTTATAAGAAAATGTATTATTTTCCTTTGATCCCTAGATTAAAAAGATTATATCCATCTCATGCTACAGCTGCTGATATGAGATGGCATCATGAGTATACACAGGACGAAGGGGTAATGCGTCATCCATCAGACTCTGATGCTTGGAAACACTTCAATGAAACTCATACTTTTTTTGCCAATGAACCAAGAAATGTAAGATTGGGGTTATGTACGGATGGTTTCCAACCATTCAGTCAGACTGGGAGGAAATACTCTTCGTGGCCAGTGATTGTAACTCCATATAATTTACCTCCAAGAATGTGCATGAAGGAAGCGTATATGTTCTTAACTGTCATTATTCCAGGGCCAAACAATCCCAAACATAAAATTGATGTTTATCTGCAACCTCTAATAAAGGAGTTGACCTTGTTGTGGGAGACAGGTGTAGAAGCATTTGACATTTCAAAAAAGCAAAACTTTCAACTAAGGGCAGCTTTGATGTGGACTATAAGTGACTTTCCAACATATTCTATGTTATCAGGATGGAGTACTGCGGGCAAGTTAGCTTGTCCTTATTGTATGGAGGAGACACAATCCTTTAGATTAGAACATGGTAGAAAAACATCTTGGTTTGACAGTCATAGGATGTTTCTTGACCAACATCATCCTTTCCGGAGAGATCGTAAAAACTTTTTTAAAGGCAAGACTGTCAAAAGATTTCCACCACCTTACAAAACAGGAGAGGAGATTTTGAACCAAATTTGTGACTTAGGGATAAGGAAAGTAACTGAGTTAGATGCAGAAGAGGTTAATCGAAGAATATGTAAGTCTTGTGGATGGAAAAAGCAAAGTATCTTTTGGGATTTGCCATATTGGAGTTCTAACATGATTCGACATAACCTTGATGTCATGCATATTGAGAAAAATGTCTTTGATAATGTATTTAACACGGTTCTTAATAATGTTGATAAAACCAAAGACAATTCACAATCACGTTTGGATATGGTAAACTATTGTGATCGACCTCAGTTGGCAAAGGATTCAAATGGTAAATACCCCAAAGCTGTATACACAATAGACAAGGAAGAAAAAGCTATCTTGTTTAATTGGGTCAAAGATTTGAAATTTCCAGATGGGTATGTTTCAAATTTGGGTAGATGTCCAGACACAAATACGAAAAAGCTATATGGCATGAAAAGTCATGATTGTCACGTGTTCATGCAAAGACTTTTGCCTATTGCTTTTCGTGAATTACTTCCTAGTAATGTGTGGCAAGCACTTACAGAGTTGAGCTTATTTTTTAAAGATCTTACTTCAACCACTCTACGAGTGGATGACATGGAGAGATTAGAAGCAGATATCCCACAAATTTTGTGTAAGTTAGAACGTATATTTCCTCCAGGGTTCTTTGACTCGATGGAACATTTGCCTGTGCACCTACCATATGAAGCAAAGATCGCTGGACCTGTACAATATCGATGGATGTATCCTTTTGAAAGGTAAATGTGAAATTTTATGACAAAATTATGACAAGCATGTTATACTTGGTAATTCTAATATGATGGTACATTCATTTATTATCTATTAAGGTACCTTGGAACTCTTAAAAGGATGATTGGAAATAAAGCTAGTGTTGAGGGTTCTATTTGTGAAGCATACTTGATGACAAAGTCAACACTATTATTTTCTCATTATTTTGAACCTCATGTCATGACACGTAATCATAATGTGGACCGTAATGATGATGGTGGTATTACGGAGGATCTTGAAGGAAATCTATCAATATTCACCCATCCAGGTCGACTATGGGGAGAGACAAGAAAAAGAAATTTATCACTTGATGAAATCAAGGCCGCTCAAACTTACATATTACTAAATTGTGAAGAGGTTGAGCCATTTGTGAGGTAGTATTTAAAATTTATTTTCACCTAATATTAGAAACATATTAATATATTATGACTTTCTATTTAACTTATTTTGTATTAATGAAGTATGTACGTGCAACGTTTGCAAGAAGAATCTCCCAATTTATCACAGTGTCAGATAGATGAGAGCCTTGAGGCATATTTTTCTATATGGTTTAAGGAATACGTAAGTCTCCAACGATCATTAACTTTGATATAGTAATGTAACCTAAATTGTCTTGTGAATTTAACTAAGTCTTTTTTTAAATAGGTCCGATGCAATCATATAGAGAATAAATTCTTGCATAGCCTTGCTCATGGACCATTAATAGGCGCTACATGTCATTCAATGTATTTTGTTAATGGATACAAATTTCATACAGAATGTTATGGTAGCGCTAGATCAACAATGAACAGTGGAGTTTGTATCTCAGATCCAAATTTTGGTGATTACTATGGACGGATAAAAGAGATTATACAAGTGGAATACCGTGAAGAACCTTTAAAGAAAACTGTCTTATTCAAGTGTGAATGGTTTGACCCAACTATAGATGTTGGTGTGAAGAAGCATAATCAATACAAATTGATTGATGTTAACCAACGTCGTCGGTATAAAAAGTATGAACCTTTTATTCTTGCAATGCAAGCAACACAAGTGTGTTATGTCCCATATCCTAGCAAGAAAAAGGACAAGATAGATTGGTTAACCGTATTGAAGGTTAAACCTCGTAATGTTGTGGAATTACTTGATGAGGAAGTGGCACCAACTCCAGAACTGAATGTTCCATTTCAAGTCAATGAAGTTGAAGTCCATGAGATAGATATGAATGTTTCTGTTGATGAAGAAATACTCTTACATGATTTAAATGGGGGTGTACTTGAAATGGAAGAACCCATTGATGGGTTACATCCAAAGTATCATGAAATCCCTGGAGAATCTACAGAGGAGGAGTATGAAACTGAGGAGGAGTATGAATCTGAAGAAACTGAGGAGGAGTATGAATCTGAAGAAACTGAGGAGAATGAGGAAGAATTTGAAGAAGATTTAGATAGTGACTAGTTCTTAATAACAATATGTTATTGTATCTTCAATATTTTTTGAGTGTAGTAATTTTTCATAATATTATTATTTCCTTAGTTTATGTTTTTTTAATGTAATAATATTTGAATGACTTTTTCTTCTATTCGATATGATTAAGAATTTTTTTTTGTTTATTCAACTTGAGATTTCTATTTTTTGATGTTGCCTTTTGTTTTATAGATTTTCCTTAAAATTTGGAGTTCAGCTGGTTATTCTCAACTATTGTGACTTTTTCCTCTTCTCTTCGACTGCTGCAACTAGTAAGGTAAGTTTTCGATAACTTTTTCTTTTTTGTTTTCTGTACTATTACGTATTCAGCTTCACTATCGTGGGATGAGTTACTCTTTCTTCTCATGTTCTTTTCTACTTTCTTCACTTCTTAGACGTGCTGTAGTAGCTGCAATGATATCTGTTAGTATTGTTTTTCAGTTGCATTTATTTAGTTGATTATAGTTTTCCTCCCCCTATTTTGACTTTATATGTCTGAAATTTTACTTCGAAAAGACTGTTTAGTCATCTGTTTAAAATCTGCAGGAGATTCTAGCTCTAATTTTTAGTATGTCATATGCATGAAATTTAGTAACATTTGGGCATACTGATGAACTTTATTTAAAAATAATTGATCTTTTACAAGTGTTGATCTTACAATACTTACATATTTTGAAGATATGGCTCGAGGCAGAGGTCGAGGCAGTGCAGGTCGTGTAGGAAAATCCTCAGGTCGCGGTAATTCTGCTATTCCTCCAAAAATGCCTACTGTTCCTATTCCCACAACAGTTAGTCCTCAACAAGGTGGTACAAGTTCTAATATAGGTGGGCTTGATCGTACAAATCTAGTTCAAATACTAGGACCTAGCAGTACACCACCCGTTCAAATGACAAATCACAATAATATTCCAACCGATGTTGAATCATCTCCTATTACACCTAATGAAAGTAATCAAATAGGAGAGGGTGCATCTACTCAAAGCAGCACAATTGGTGAAGGTGAGTCCAATAATCGTGGGCAGCGGAGAACAGTTATTACTTTTACTCCTACAGGGTTAGTCCATGCTTATAGTATCATTAGTATATATATTTTTAATAAGATACATATGTATTTAAATAATGTCCTGAAATTTATATAGATTGGAGCCTTCTTCGACATGCTCTACTTTCATAGCTAAGTCTTTCAAAAATGAACTTGATCCCAATGGAATCAATTGGAAAGGTGTCTCGCAACCTGTAAAAGATTTTTATTTTGGAGAATTCAAGGTATGTTATTTCATTATAATTGAGTTTAAGAAAGTGATAAACTTTTTATAGATATGATATTAATGTTATTACTTTACAAACTAATTTCAGAAGGAATTCTATTGGGACTCTTCAACTAATGAAAATGCAGTGAAAAGACAATGGGAGATTAAGGCATCACTACGATATAGCGATTTTATTTCCAGAATAAAAAAGAACGGAACTAATCCCAGATATGTAACTGATATTGTGTGGGAAAATTGGATGAGGCTTTGGCAAGCTCCTGAGAATGTTGCGAAGTCAGAAACAAATAAAAAAAATCGTCGTGGAGGAAGAGAAGCTGCTATCGGAACTCATACAGGTGGATCTATCTCTATTGGGGAGCATCGTAAGAAACTTGTAAGTATATATTTCACGCAATATATATTCTTCGACAAAATACATTTTCCTTATCTTCTAGTCATTACTAAAAGTCGATAGTACACAAATAGTAGAAGTGCCTCTTTTTTTTTGTTCAATTATGTTTTGGGACTGTTGTTGCAGTGCATCTGTTTTGGTGCAACATACAATTGTTATTGATGACACTTTCGATTTTTAAACTCTTAATTGTATTCTTTCTGATAGTAAATTTGGACATAAGGCGAACAAAATCAAATAGATAAATTGACATATACTTTTGCCTATTGTATAGTGTGATGAATGTCTTTAGCTAGAACTGTATGTTGGCTGGAAAAACATAAAAATGAAAGCCCCACATTATAATAGTTGGTTAGAGAAAATAAAAAGTTACAGGGAAAAATGTATAGATTTGAACTTTACATGTAAAAGCTTTGCCTGAATGTGTACAAAGATGTGAACTCTACCAAGATGGCATAAGAAAATGGAGATATATTCTGCCTGGATATTTGGCTAGCGCTAGCATGTAATATAGTAAAATTAAGAGAGAGTAGGATGTACATAGACTTTATTTATACCTTTGTGAGATAAGAGAGTGTTTTCGATAAATTCTCGGCTTAAAGAAAAATATCCAACACATGAGTATAGGTACATAGTAATTGTTCCAAAAAATTTCACCAGTACTACCTCTACAAGCTTATAATAGTTAGTTGCCTTAGAATCTATTTTTTATTGTAAGAGCCTTAATGGGTCTTGCTTATAGAAGAAGGGAGCTTAATATTTTAGATTGTCTTGTGACATTGCATGCAATAGATTGAATATGAATAACTTCTTATTATAGAACTTGATTTTTGAATCTGAATCTGAATCTTTTTCTTTGTCACCAAGTACTATTCTGGACAGTTTTTGGCTCGTTGTCACCGATTTTTGAATCTGAAACTTGCATAAGAAAGTTATGAAAGATATCTCAATTCTTACAAATGTTGGTTCCTTCATCTTTAGAGGCACGATTTGAATTGTTAGCATTATTTCTGCCATAGGGGCGACCTCAATTGTGGGTTCCTCACTGAAATTAAATAGACTTTTTGTGTTTATTGAAATACTTTACCTAATTATATCATATTGTTCATAACATAACTGGGGCAATTTATTTTTTTTGGGTAGGCTATTGAAAAGGGTCGAGACCCAACACCAAGTGAGCTCCATTTGCACGTCCACACACATGATCACGATGGAAAATCTTTTGTTGATGAGCGAGCACGAATTGTTCATGTAAGTAGAATTTATAAAATTATCGACTTTTGACATTCATATTCTTTTTATTTGGAGAAACTTATAGTTAGTATTCTTTATTATAATTTTAATGTCTCTACTTATTGCAGGAAAGATATGAAGAAATATTACGTGAGAAAATTGAGTCTGAATCTGATATTGATCAACGTGACGCATATTATCAAGCTGCAGGTGGAGAAAAGAAGAGAAGAATATATGGTCTTGGAACTCAAGCAAAAAGTTACTATGGACCAAATCTTTGTATCTCTTCTCAATCTGATGCTTCATCATCAATACCACCATCTGTTTCTCAATCTGCACCGATGGAAAATATGGATGAGTTCGTGAAGAAATTGATTCCTACATTGACTGATCACATGATTCCTATATTACTTGAGCACATACGAGGTGTAACTTCTTTACCATCACATCAATCAGCTGATACTCCTATTGGTGACGCATCATCAGCAACACCTATGGTGCCTAATAAGGTTGTTTCAGATGATGACCATATTTCTTCTCCCTAGCATTAGTTTTTCTTATCTGATTTTTGTTAAAGGAAAACAAATTATGCAGTAACAATTACGAGTTCTAAACATTAGTAATTGCTAGATGTTTGATACTTGGTGTAGATGTTTTGGACTTAATATTAGGTGAATATATGTTTTGGTGCACGGGTTATATATGAAGTAACATTTATGTTATATGAATATTTGTTATTATTAGGATGTTTAATAATTTACATTTTCTATATATTATAAATAAATAAATAAAATGAATAGAAAGAATTATACCTACGACAAATTTAACGATGGAAATTGCGACGAATTTTGGGAATAGTTAAAGAATTAAAATTGGTGACGGATTGCGACAAATATTAATTGGTTGCCAAAAGTTTGCGACGGATTAGCGATAAATTATTTTCGTCGTAAAATTATAGGACGACGAATTCATTTATGTAATTTGCAACGAAATATATAAATCTAGCGACAAAACTTTCCGTCGCTACCATTTTACTACGGATATCATATGTCGCTAAATCGTCGCTAATCTTGCTACGGAATCAATTTTGCCGTCGCAAAGGGGTTAGCTACAAGCAAAATTATAACGGTCAACATTTCATCGCTAATCCATTGCAAATATAGTTTAGCGACGGATATATGTCTATTGGCGACGGATTTATCCGTCGCTAAACACTGTTTTTTTAGTAGTGTTTATTAACACGGTTAAACTATGCTTCCTACTACGTTATGGAATCCTTCTTCAATGTGACTTCGTATGGACTCCTACTTGATTGCGACTTTGTACTCTTTAATATTTTCCTCATTCCAGTCATATTAGATGAAGTTGAATCACGTTGACACAACATGTTCTATGCAACTTTGTCAGTCTTCAAAACACTAAGTTATTTGCAACTAACAATTGTCAAATTAATTGTAGATCGACACAAAATAAAGATGAAATGAGCGTCCATGAACAGAAGATAAACATTATCAAAATGATGAGATGTAACTCGTAAGGCTCCTCAGAGACTCATAAGAAGAGCCTCCTGGCTTTAAACATGAATTTTCCTTCTCCTTCAGCTCTAACATTCGTTCTTTAATTTGTTTCCCTTCTTCCTCCTGCATCAACCTTCTAATTACATTTTCAATGTTCATCCTCTTCAAGTCATTCTCTAATTGCACCCCTACCTTCCAAACATGGCTAACGTACCTTGCGTTCACCATTTGATCACCGAAACATGGCATACAAATCATTGGTACCCCTTCACATATACTCTCCAATGTTGAATTCCATCCATTGTGCGTCCAAAATGCCCCAACAGCAGGATGTGACAATACTTGTTGCTGAGGAGCCCATTTGACAATGTGTCCTCTTCCATTCACTGTCTCCAAGAACTCACTAGGTAACCATTTGATCCATTCTGAACCACGAATCAATCCGGGCCTAACGACCCACAAGAATGGGTAATTGATGTTTGCCAAGCACCAAGCAATCTCAAGAAAGTCATTAATTTCTATTGCTGCAACACTTCCAAAGCTGACGTAACTTACAGATTTAGGTGGTTTTGTGTCTAG